TTACTGAAAACAAACTTTGATAATTATCAGTGTATTTAGAAAACAATTGCTTTGAGAACAATAGGCTGACGACAGCTGAGGATCTTCGGAAATATGATTTTCATCTAATCATATTATAATTTCCACGACGACTTTCATCTAGTCATATTATAATTTCCACGACTTGCATCTAGTCGGAAATTATAATATAGAAACTAAAGACTTATTTCACTATGAAAATATATTTAATGCGGTATTATACAAAAACTAGACATGTAGCAATTATCTCTATAAAATCATAAAAGATTCATTGGGTAGCTCTATTATTTTTACATCCAACTATTTCTTAATACTACAGTCCTGAGCTAACACACATAGTACTGGGGGCCTATTACATAACGTGGTTAAATTTTATTTATGGTTAAAAAACCATATATATATATATGATTAATTCAAACAGATTAAGTGACATTTCAAGTAAAAGCTGTAAGAAACAAATTATTTCGTAAGAAATACATATATACATAGTCGTATGTTTTAGTCCCTCCCGATTTTCCAATATACTGGAGACGCTAAATAGCATGAAAATGTCTAGGAATTAATAGACGTTGGTGTAATCTTACAATAAACTGAAACAGGTAATCTTTTATTTGAAAATATGTAATATTAGTATTTTGTAAAGACATTCATGTCCTTAACAGTTAGTAAAGTGATCTTCTTTCTGTATGTAACTTTAGTATTTTGTAAAGAGAACTCCGCCATAGCAGGTACAAAGCCGGAGGCATGGTTGCCGTAAAGGCATCCAATCCGGCGTAAAAACGTTGCAAAATAAATATGGAGAAGATCACGTGGTATGAACTAATAAGGAAATTAGTGAAATGTCTGAGGAATAGAAGCGAGACTGAGGTGGTTTGGTCACGTGAAGAGAAGAAGAAGAACAAGTAATACGGAGAGTATTAAGGCTACTAGTAGCCGGCAATAGAAGACAGGGAAGACCAGTAAAGCGTTGCAAGGATGAGAGACGACGTGAACGAGAAAGGAATTGCCGAAGACCTGACAACAAATAAAGATGATTGGAGGAGGAAAACACGTGTAAAGGACAGCGACCCCTGCTAAATGGAAAAGCTGAAGAAGTATATTATATAGACTTTCATAAGCTTAACAGTAAAGGGTTTATATTCCTTTTTCAGTGTCAACTATGTATACAGTTATGAAGCCTAGTCTTATTATTTCCATTTGCCCTTGTCCAGGGTTGCTGATGAGGTGTGGAACTCTCCGACACTGACATAATTCAGTAACAAGAAGTAAAGCGAATGATAGATTGGGCTTAACATCAATTTTTAAACATTTCAAGCAGTTTATTGGCTAAATAATTCACAAGAATAAAATAGTAACTTCAACGCTGAATATTCTTAATATTCCTATAACTGGATATGGGATCACTTTATGAGTAACAACTGAAACCCTAGTTACAAGACTGCACACAGTAAATATTTGTCTATTTGTAACATTTCGTTATATACCTTTTTGATCTCTACAGCATCCATAATTAAAATTTCACAAACACCACAAGATACATTACGAGAAAATATTATACTAAAGGACAATCTCTTAATCCATAATTAAAATTTCACAAACACCACAAGATACATTACGAGAAAATATTATACTAAAGGACAATCTCTTACATTTAATGTCCAAGGAACACCCACTGATGGGCTGTAATGGGCCGATGGTTAGGGCGCTCCACTCGCAATCTGAGGGTCGTGGGTTCGAATCCCCGTCACACCAATCGTGCTCGTCTTTTCAACCGTTGGGGCGTTATGACGTGAAGGACAATCCCACTATTCGTTGGTAAAAGAGTAGCCCAAGAGTTGGCGGTGGGTGGGGTTGACTAGCTGTCTGATCTCTAGTTTATGACGCTAAATTAGGGACGGCGAGTGCAGATAGCCCTCACGTAGCTTTGCGCGAAATTCAAAACAACCCAAACAAACTACCCACCGAAACCCATTATATCCCTCGTGTATATATAATGGGAAAGTGTCAAATTGCTGTAGAAATGCAAAAAAAAATAAAAGAGTTAAAAACGAAAATATTTTCGGAACATTATGCAGTACACAACACCTGGCGGATATTTCAATGTCTATAATTTTGTACTTCATGCTTAGGAATGAAATTATGCTTCCATATCCAGTGTTTCTATGTATTTTATTTATTCTAGTACATTGGTTTGGTTTGTTTTGAATTTCGCGCAAAACTACACGAGGGCTATCTGCGCTAGCCGTCCCTAATTTAGCAGTGTAAGACCATAGGGAAGGCAACTAGTCATCACCACCCACCGCCAACTCTTTGGCTACTCCTTTACCAACGAATAGTGGGATTGACCGTAACATTAGAACGCCCCCACGACTGAAAGAGCGAGCATGTTTGGTGTGATGGGGATTCGAACCCGCGACCCGCAGTTTGTGAATCAAGCATATTCTAGTACTTAGTTTCACTCGTCAAGCTGTAGTTGGGAATCACGGAGTTTATAATACTTTCGTGTAAATCAATTATGAGTGTGTTAGCTCTAAACTAAGGTTATAAATGAAGACATTGATTTGAAAATAAACTCGTACTGAAAACGTCACATAGTTACGCTCATTACACGTCTGGGCATTTTGTTAAATTTACACCTTAATAAAAAAAAATCCACGAAACGATCGTTTTTGTGGAACAAAGCCCATTTTGCAACATTGCTTTTTTTTAACTATACCCAATGTGAATTTGGATAAACAAGTTTTGAAGTTTGAGTTTTGTGCTTTCAAGTGTTACTCGTAATAACAATCGAACTTATTTACTCCCACCTTTCTCCCAGGATATTTGATCAATCGGGTACCCAGCAACTCGACAGTGGAGATAACTAGTTTCAGCCGACACTACAACTTTAGCTGGCATAGTTTTCACTATGGGGTTTCCAAAAACGTTTAGACGGGCGGAATGGCGTATGCTGCCAACATCATTTCCGGCGGTGCACTCGTACGCTCCTCCATCTTGGACTTGGACGTTGCTAATATTGACGAAACTAACCACATTTCCACTGCGACTGACATAATCCCCTATGCGTACTCGGTCATTGTCTGGCACGGAATATCCATCCAAAGCCCACGTTACCTGAGGAAGTGGAGTTCCTGATGCAGTACAGTGTAAAGATACGCTAGGTCCTGGATTCAGGGTCTGGTCAGGGAATGTCTCTAGTAGAACTGGAGCAGTTTCTGGAATGAAACGTATATATATATATAAATATAGTGAAAGATTAATAAATACGGTACAAATGAAATACGTTTTTTTTGTTTTTTGAATTTCTCGCAAAGCTACAAGAGGGTTCTCTGTGCTAGCCGTCCCTAATGTAATAGTGAAAGACTAGAGAGAAGGCAGCTAGTCATCACCACCCACCGCCAACTTTTGGTCTACTCTTTTACCAACGAATAGTGTGATTGACCATGACATTATATCGCCCACCCCGCGGCTGAAAGGGCGAACATGTTTCGTGGGACGAGGATTCGAACTCGCGACCCTCAGATTGCGAGTCGAGCGCCTTAACTACCTGGCAGTGCCGGGCATGAAACATATAAGAATTATTAAGTTCAGAATAACTATGTAAATGTTTTAGTTCTTTATTTAATTTAAACGCTTTCATACAGGGGTGACTCTTCAGGCACATAATAGTTGTAAACATGACATCACGGAGTTACAAGTTTGTTGTTTGTTTGTTCTCGAGCACAACGCTACACAACGAGCTATCTGTACTGTGCTAACCACGGATATCATCGCCCGGTTTTTAGAGTTTTATAAGTCTTCTGATTTACCCTGAGCCACGGGGGAGGGATGAAGATACAAATAATAAAATAGAATAAAAGATGAAAATTTATAACTAAAAGGGACAAAAATGATTTTAATCCTAATGTTTATAACAAGTGTTGACTGGAACAATATTATTAAATACTTTGGTTTTGCTTTCCGCTCTATTTCATAGTTTGAAAACAGTTTGTAAAGTTGAAAATTGCGGTCTGTGCATTACAACAAGTCTACAAATGTTCATTCACACTATCAGGGTTTTCATATATATATGTGGGCTGGAATTCTTTTACAGTAGGTGCCTGTGATTTGTTGGCGATAAATTCGAACAATATACGGACAGCACACAATCCACTTGTTTCAAAATAATATATATATATATTCAAAACAAGCCAAACGTTTGTCTTTACATTATAAGATATCACGATTGTATCTAAAACTCTAAATAATTCTATTTTTTCTTCTATTATCACAATATAATTAGTGATAAGTTCACTTACGTTACCCCGTGGGTTACCACAGTTTTAAACAGAGCTTTAAATAATTCTCTTTTACATCAAAAGTCCATACAGGCTGGTTCACTTGCTTTAGACCTCAATTTACGAGACTAATTATTCTTCTTTAGTCTGTTTCTTACAGCTAAGTCTGAGATAGATTCATTTACGTTACTCCATGGGTTACTACAGTTATATCTCGAACTTTAAATAATTGTCTCCTTTTCGTCAAAGTCCACACAGGCGGGTTCAGTTACTTTGACAAGACAAATTATTCTCCTTATCTCTGTTAAACTCTGAAACTCACTTCAGATAACGCCAGTTACGGTGAAACTAACAAACATGCAGTCTATCTTCACTTTCACTAACTTAACTTTTTCTGACTTCACTTAACTTGTTAGTTATCACAGTTTTATCGTCAAAAGTCCACACAGGCTGGTTCAGTTACTTTAGAACCCAATTGACAAGACAAATTATTTTTTCCTATCTCTATTGTTACAATACAGCTGTGAAACACACTATGTAAGAAATTCCCCGTTAAGGCTAATCACTCACACGCTGGCTAAGTTCGCGTTTTCTTTCACTAACTAACTTACTATCTGCACGTATTTATAACACGCGACAGAGAAATCTAGAATTATCTAGCCCTCTAGTAGCAACAATATTACACATAACTAGAAAATTTTGGAAGCTTCGAGTAAGATGACGTCAACAATATTTTTACTAAAGCCTACTACATAAGTAAACTGCATATTTAATTTCTGTAGTGCATATTTGTGTATATAAGACATATTAATGCTGGAAATAAACGATCTTCTAACCCCAAAATGTAGTTTTTTATTTAATTAGACATTAAAGTTTCGCTTTACAGCTTCTTCAGGGGCGTGCATTAAAACACGAACCGAAACTGACAGAACAAAGCTTCAGATGGTTTAAATAATAAAATCTATTCAAATCTATAACGTGCATTTGTACAGCATAATTTTGATGTATTAAGTAGTAAAGAAAAGTATTGTTGAAACGATAAGCAGTTGATTATTTATATCTTCTTACCCATTAACTAAATACGTACATTGATATCAGATTGTTTGTCTTTATATACTTACAAATCTGTATACTTGAATCATATAATGAAGCACCTTTTCCAGCGTTTCGACTATTCAATAGTTCCTTGTAATACGAGCTTCCAGAAGGAGTGAATTCAAACTGATATAGAATGAACCCGCAGTTTTGTTATTATTTGGTCGTTTAGAACAACGCAACACATCACAGTATATACTAATAATGCCTATTCATCTTTAATAAACGTTTCAACCTATAATATCTATTATTACCTTTTAAACTACAAAAATTGTCTAGATCCTCGGGTAGGATCTCGATATTTGAAAGTACTCAAAAACAACCTACCACCTAAAACCAGTTCTAAAGCAGCTTGTGCAGAATCGTCTTTGTTGGTTACGTAACACTGGTAAATGCCTTTATCTTCACGTCCAACAGATGATATGTGAAGCGAACTACTAGTTAGAAGACGAAACTTCATTCCATCAGGCGTCAGAGGGCGCTGATCTTTAACCCACTTTACTGTGTTCACTGGAAATCCTGACACGTTACACGTTAGGATTGTGGATCTTCCAGCGTCGACAAGGAGTCTTTCGGGAGTGAGCTTTGCTTTTAACGGAACTAAAACAGGATAACATCCAGAGTTAGTATAACTCTACAACGATAAAAAAACAGCTTTATTTGTTAAACATTTTTTGTAAAAATAGTAATAATAATAATATATAAGATTGGAGCTTATTAGAATTATAGCATGATAAATAGTTGCAATGGGCTATCTGTGCCCTGCTCACTACGGGTATCGAAACCCGCTTTATATCGTTGTAACTCACTAGGGGAGGCTTCTACGATTGTTAAATACATTTTCATTCCTTTTGGCTTTTTTTTTTTTAACCAAACATGCATGCTATTCCTAAGTCTTACTGTAAACCACTTATATTTCTGAAAGTCAAGTTGTAAAGTATACACATATATAACTTTTATGATTTTTTTATCATCTAACAAAGAAAAATTACCTGTGACTGTTAGGTGTGTTTCCATTCTTTTCAGTCCTATGTTATTTTTCACTAAACATACGTACGTACCACCAACCCTGACGCTGGTTTTTTTAATAAAAAGGGAGCCACTTGCTTGTATTATATTTCCACTGGCTGAAACTGGAATTAGGTTCGTCCCTTCTTTTTTGTACCAGCTAACAAAAAAGCAACTAGATTAATATAAATTAAGGTTCGTCCCTTGTTTTTTGTACCAGCTAACAAAAAAGCAACTAGATTAATATAAATTAAGGTTCGTCCCTTGTTTTTTTTTGTACAAGCTAACAAAGAAAAGCAACTAGATTAATATAAATTTAGGTTCGTCCCTTGTTGTGTTTTTTTGTACCAGCTAACAAAGAAAAGCAACTAGAGTAATATAAATTAAGGTTCGTCCCTTGTTTTTTTTGTACAAGCTAACAAAGAAAAGCAACTAGATTAATATAAATTAAGGTTCGTCCCTTGTTGTTTTTTTTGTACAAGCTAACAAAGAAAAGCAACTAACTTAATATAAATTAAGGTTCGTCCCTTGTTTTTTTGTACCAGCTAACAAAGAAAAGCAACTAAACTGATATAAATTAGAAATTAGTTTATTGGGAATATTTCGCATAAAATCGTCGAAGGTAAAAAATTGTTTCGAATAGTTAAAAATTAAAAACAATGATTAAACATGTTTATCAAAAATTATCTAATCCTATATTCTATCGGCAGTTATTTGTGGATTTTTTTTTCATCCATAGAAATGTTCACTAATATACACACACAGATATACATATATATAAAAACAATATGTATAACTCATACAAGTTTCCACCTGTGGGATACAAATTACATAACATAATATAACACTGTAACACTATAACACTATAACACTTATACCTTTCTATTTTTCCTCTTCTTTATTGTTTTATTCTATTGATTTAGTGAGTTCAAAGGTCATTCTTCAGTATTTAATTTTATATTTGATCTACAATAAAAGCATTCAAGTACAGCCTTACAGCTAAACAGAAAAAAAAACCTAAATTAAATAAATATCTTTTTTTTTAAATATACAGTCATAGAATACAATTCTTATATAAATTAAATATATAAAATATACTAAAAATAAAAAGTTTATCAAATAGTGTTTTTCTTTTAATAAACATTTATTCTAATTATACTTTATCCTGTTGTTATTGGAAAGAGGTTCATTCCGTAAGCTATAACAATACAAAATATACCTGTTAGTTACTATGTTGTCCTTTTTGTAACTCTTAGTAATAATTTTTTTATTGTTGCACAATTCCAACTAACATTACTCACAAAATATTAAGATTTGTTTAAAAAAAATTGACTTTGTTTTTTTTTCCTAACATATATACAGTTGTTCTACAAAATTATAAACCCGTTTCTCCCAATAAATAAAGTTTAATTTTATATTTTTACCGGGTTTTATGTTCATACTTAGACATGCCACACGATATAATTGGATGTATTGAGTTAACACACGTTCAATATCTGACATAGACGAATTATTAGGTCCTAATAAGCACATATTAGCTCAGAACTAACTCTTTAACGAGATTAAAAAACAGCTTATTTTCATTTTGATACAAACGTAATCAATATACTGGTTCATTACAAAGTCGAAGATAAAATACAATAAACAGAACTGATTAATCGCCAAATTAGATTTATATTTAAATTGTAACATTTATCTTTAAACATGTAACAAATTACTAAACAGAAGGGAAAAAATAGGTTAAGTTATCACATTTGTATTAATATAATCCGAACGTTAATGATGGTACTCTTTAGTTGGTTTAGAAGAAAACAGATGGCCGGTATCTGACGGAGTGGCAGCTGTCATCAATTTTACATCTACTAGAAACAACGGGCGTGTAACTACTGGGGAACTGACAAGATAACTGAAAGACATTCAGCTGTAAACTGGCGAGTTCTGAAGCGTCAATTGCTTTTCTTCTCATTATCCTTCATTTGTGACACTTTGGAATGTAATAAAAGCCCAATCGAGCATTATCCATTATAAAAAGTTAGAAATACTATGTTATCACTCGTTGTTGTAATACGTCGATATCTTTATTTTTGTGCTAAGATGCACGAGACCATTGACACCAATTATAATTTTTTTCTTTTTCGAAGCAGCACGTGAGTAGCTTTTGCGAACTTCAAACTGGTAACAATAGAAAGGATCTGCTCGATCTTATAATTACTATTCCGATATGAATCATTCTTTCGTGTTCACCAATGCATTCAATACTCGGTCTGCCTCGATGACCTGGACCACAGTCATAAGTCTTGATTGGAGCTCGTTAATTTAAGTACTACTCATCCGTTGTGCTTTCCACATTCAAGTTGCTACATGTTTTAGATTAGCAAATTCAAGTAGCGTAACATTAAGATGATCAATTGAATGTGATGACAGTAAGTAAGTAAGGCGTGGAAAACTGAAAAAATACCACATCGCACAATATCGTATTAATATGTGAACCATAACCTCATTTTTGACTGTAATATCTTCGTTAAAAAAGGAATTATAACCTAACCGGAATAACGGAATAATTGTGCTTTTCACACCAATTTTAAACTTTGATAAAATGAGAAAATAAAATAGATACTGACAAAACCAGTTCACTTGTTGCCGCTCAATACAATTATTTAAACAGAAAGTTAACAACTGTTTATTCATATATTTAGACTAATAACAAATAAATAATCTTTATTCGTGATTTTTCTACTAGAGTAGACGTTTCTCGTAGTTTTAAAAATAAATAAAACCTACGGATTAAAACAAATAAAAATAAAGTTAAACTTATTTTCGATGTAGAATCGTAGGCCTGAAATAATAATATATTTGCACTTCTACGTAAATATTGAAAAAGTGTAATAGAACGAATTAATGGCCCTAGTAAATGTGTGTGTACTTAGAGCTAGTGACAGATATTATATCGTACTATTAAGAGGGTTATTTTGTGTATAAATACTAATATTCTACAAGAGAATTGTTCTAGTATTTCTTTAATATTCCAATAGTAACACAATAAATTTTATGTTAAAATTAAGAATATATCCTTCCATTTTAAAACGTAAAGATATAATAAGTGAATAAATATGTATTAGAAATAATAACCTAATTATTAAAACTATTATATAACATTCAGACAGAGAGAGAGAGAAGTAGATAATAATAATCTTTGAAAAAAAATAACTTTGCATTTTATATATATATATTACTTAATATCTGTGGATA